TCAGTTGCTGCGGATAGGATGCTGAACACTTAAAGAATCGCCTTTGAGCAGGACTGCTTTGTCAACCTATCAAGCGAGGGGAGCAGAGTGGAGATGGGAAACAGCAAAGAAACAGAAGTAGAATGGACGCTGTAGCGTAAGGGCTTGGGCGAGATAAAGACACATCTTGGAGATGGAATATGTAATTAGTTAATAGCTGCCCTTCTGGTCTAGGCCACCGGGCGTAATAGACTGTGTGTGTTTGTGTGTGTGTATCACAGGAAAGCGGACACTCGTTTTCGACCTCACTGTAACACATGCCACCGGTGAGCTCTATACCGCACTGACGTAACGGCTGAACGTATTGAGTTTGGTCGTAAAGGACAGAATAATGCAAAGGCGCCTTAGAAGAGGCATCGCATACGTTTCGGAATTAAATCTAGCACTGGCGAGCGCCTAGGGGGGGTTGACTCAGTTTCTCGTGAGGACCTCGATAGACTTGCGAAGACGCAACGTCAAAATTACCCAAGGGTCTCTGAGAAGAACAGCGCCTGATGATAGCGGGGTCTTACATAGAGCGCTAGCTAATCTGGTGATGAGTATTGGGACGTTCTAGGCCTGGTAGGTGAAGATTTCCCAAGCCACATAATATAGCAGCCAGTGGAAGAAGAGAATGTGTTCCTTGTTATCCAGTTATAGTATTCATATATCGCTTTAGGGACTATTTCTAGAGATCCATAGCATATGCTGAAAAATGTGGGTAATATAATTAGTGCTTAACTAGGCATAATAGCGTTCTGGTTATACTGGCATCTCCTAGCTACATTCTGCAAGCTGGCCTAGACTCATCTAGGCTTTCCGCTAAGTCTCACATTCCAATCACCTAAAGCTAAACTTATAGGGGTATTTTTGGCCCATAAACGAGGAATGGCGCCATTGCCTAGAAATGTTCTAGGCCTAGTGGCTGCGGGTTTTTCAAACCACATGGTGTAGCAGCCAGTGGAAGAAGTCAATGCGTTCCTTGACAGAATCTCGTGCTCTTATCGGCGAGGCACCATGGCTGCACTTCACAGCAAGTGAAAGCGCCGAATAACAGACATGAGATGAGAGCCGGCACAGTGGCCTCGTTTGTGATTTGTCCGAATAGTCGAATCAGAACCTGCACAAAGGTATTCCGCAGATTTGCAAACGACATTCACGTTAAGACCGTTGAGCAGTCATCCTCATCCTGCCCGTCCTCCACCTCCCCATCCTCAACCATCCTCTCGAGCCTCTCCACATGCTTCGCCACCCACTCTCTTACAGACCCGTACCAAAAGGTCCCGCACGTCCAGTATGCCTTGTTCCAGTACATGTACTCCCCCTCCTTGTAGTCGTCCCGCTCGCGCGCCAGCTTGCGGTAGAGGGCGGGAGTGATGAGGTAGTGCCTATAGCTGTCGCACTGTTCCACGCCTGGGGAAAGCTCTATAAAGCCTTGAAGATTGTTATCGTCGTCGTCGTCGTTGGGAAAGCTGAGCTCTTTCTCGTCTCTCAGATCGTCGAGCTCTTCGCAGTCGGGGTCGAACTCAAAGTCTCGGCAGTCCGACAAACCGCCCTCGAGGAAATGCCAGCCTCCCTTGAAGCTGAATATCGAGAAGTGTTAGCAGATCCGCATATCTTCGAATGCACGGCTTCGCGCGAAACGCGGGGCGGGATACTCACCCTCCCGCAATGCGGTACATCTCCTTGAGGTCCTCCGGCAGCTCCCCGACCACCTCCTCCGCAGCCTTGATGTCCTCCTCTTTTATTGGCGAGTTGAGGATCTCAGCCGCTGACATTACACCATTCTTCTTATACTCCTTGGAGTTTACCGCCCAGGCAGCACTCGCAAGCCGGTCCAGCAGCTCCCTCCAGCCCACCCTCTCCGGGGCCAGCGACCACTGCCTTCCGTGTTCGGCGCGGCGTTCCAGCGTCTGGGAAATCTCACGCACCATCGCTGCGGCGTCGGAGTCCTCGATGTAGAATGGGTTCCCGGCCCTACCTTTTGCGGCGAGGCGGGGGAGGACCTCGTAGATGCCCGGTAACACCAGGAATCGATCGAGCGCGGCGCCGTCACTCGTGTTGAACCCATCGAGGACCAGGCCCTGCGATAGCACTTCCGCGGCTGTGTCGAGACGACCGACGCGTATGGCAAGCTCGACCACCAACCGCCGGTAAAGGAGGTAGGAGTGTCTGCGCACAGTCTGGCTCTCTTTGTGCTCGAATTTCCAATCGGCCACCGGCACCTGAGGCTGGGCGTAGAGCTTCTCGGCGGCGGCAAGGGCCTCTCTCAGCTGCTCGGTTGGGGGATAATGGCCGGGCGTCTTGTCCTTTGCCAGCAGCCGGGCGCACATGGCGATCATGGGCGGGTTGTCCGTCTCGCGCCAGACGTGAGGGTCCTCGGGCTCTCGCAGGTTGCAGTGTTCGAGCATCCAGCCCGTGCGCGTGCACTCGCGGTAGTTATTCCACTGTTCTGTTTTCCACCGTGACTCGGTCTTGAGGGCCGCTTCGGAGCGGTCGCCCTGTCGAGTCTTCGAGGGGGCGTTAGGCGGCAGCGGATAGGCGGGATGCGTGAACCAGAAGTAGTTCAGAGCCTGCTGAGAAAACCTAGAGGCATTTTTGGGGAGAATAGTGTCAACATGGCGATAGAGGGCGGTGGCGAGGGAGTGGGCGTGGTCGAGGTGGTTGGAAAGGAGGAGGAGCTCGACGATGCGGAAGGACTCGCGAACGGCCTTGGAAGGGTTCTTGGGCTCCATGTAGGAGCTGACGAGGCGGGAAATGGAGTGAGGCGCGGGAACGGGGTGACCGCTTTCTCGGCACGCGTCCATGTACTCGGCAGGCATGTTTCGTGAAGGCTCGGAGTAGATGCTATATTTGAGCGATTTGCGAGGAGGCTGAAGGGAGAATATCGATTCAAGGCTATGCTTTCTTATACTTGAGGGGTCTCGTATTCAGTCTCAGGCAACAGGGGCTAGATCAGGCAGCGCACCACCGCTTGAAGGGCTTGAGAGGGTGCAGTTGCTCATGGATGCTGAGCTGTGCCGCCGTGAAGCATGTCGTGAATCTTACGGTCCTGATTTGCTAGGCCACGGTCTTCCCGAGCTCACACGTTGGCTGTTTTAGTTCCCATCTCACTTCTCTCTCGATGTTTCATTGTTAATCAACCGGTCGACTTGTGTTTGCGACCGGTTGATTGTGGCAGCGCTGGTGAAGCGTGCCCAATCCAAAGTACTTGGAGTACCCTGGATCATGTTCTGGACTTAGGTAGTAGGAAGAATTAGGCGTCTTGTGACACACAGTAACCCCAACGTGACTGATCTGCGAGGCTCGGTTACACTCGTGCGCTACTCCAATTCCACCCCACCTCCAGGAGTGGCTTTCCTCTCCAATCTCATCCCAACCCAGAAATGACCCCGCCCTCTCTTTCTTTTTCCTTCCTCGATCTTCTTTCCTCGCTACGACAGCATCTTTGGCATGATCCGCACATTGCCTTCTTGCTTCTCGAGCTTCTCGAGCTTCTCGCCACCCCGTCGACCCGAAATATGGAATGGCAGCGGCCCGGACCGAGCGACGAAGTCTTCAACCTTCTGTTCTGGGTGACGTGCATTCCCGAAGCCCCGTCCTATCTGTTCGCCGAGCCGCGCCCTCAGCTGCTTCATCCTACTTTCTGAGATGGTGTCCCATCGGCGTGATGCCGGAATCCTAATCCTAGAACTGCACCAATCTGGCCAGCAACTTCAGCTAGACCCTGTATCCAAAGGTCGTGCCCTTCGATCCTGGGGACAGCCCAGAACTTTACGGCCGCTGGAGAAGCGGTCGGTTGCCTATTGGCCAAGAAGACTAGGCCATCTGCCGTCTATGTCTCCTGAGAAACCGGCTATAGGACGAGGCATGACAAATCAGTCTTATACAAAAATTGTCCCCAGAAGGTGAGGATGTGGGCCCCACGTTTACAAGCTAGGCCATGGCGTGAAAGGACGAGGACCTGCCAACTTCATCAGCGCACGGATCATATTTCTTCCGAGAATAACATGGGCGCCGCGCTATGGAGACCAATCAAACCAAGGTATGGCGACGCGGCAGGGGTGTGCACGACGCGCTGATTCAAACCCTCCGTCATCCTCACGTTGTTGTTGGGCACTACGATGATGGTGTTGACAGAGCGGTGTTGAAGCTTTCATCAGGTCGTACGGTCGAGACTCACAGATAGAAGCGCTTTCTCTTCTCTCTTCATTTCTTTCGCAGCTGACATTACGGCAGCCGCAACACTTGCATCATCTTGCGCCATGTCGTGAAAGCCGCCACAATAGACCGGGCTACACATGATTGATGACCTTTCGGTGTGGCAGTCACACTTGACTACCAGACAATACTTGAGACGAGAAAAGCACTACTAGTCCCTTCAGCCATTACAGTGTCAAAAACTCCCACATAGCTCAATATCCTCGACACGCCAAGGCTTCAAATTTGCCGTTGCTATCGCTATGGACAACGGTGCCTGCAGGAGCATTCAAATTTGAGGTTTCCCATGTGCCATCCGTCATTTCGTTCCTTTTCAGACCCGGTGAGTTGGCAAATACGATCTGGTGGGATTAGACAAGGTCTGTAAGAAATCGCATGATAATGCGGTACCTCTGCCGACGCATCTGCATCTTGAGCACCGACAAATTCGAAACTGCCGTCTAACTGTGCCAGACGAGGGGTAGCGACAGGAGAAGCTGAATTTTTGCCATTCGCATCGGCGGTTGGCGTTTCAGAGAACCCGCCTGCCTTGCCTCCACGTCTGTCCCGCCAAGCTCCCCTCGACTCCAGAACAAATCGGAGTACCTCGTCGCTATCACATAGAACGATTACTGCCCCGCTTCCAATGGTCGCATACCGCATGGTCACCGGTCTGGTGCTGACGATGAGAGCACCATCATCAATGGTGCAACTAACGAATTGACTCATGTTACTTTTGGACTGTTTGGACAAGTTTCACGACTCTTATGAACCAGCCAAGAACCGTGTTCCTATATATATGTATGATATACTCAAGTCGACCTATTTCAATGATATAAACTGGGGTTTTAGTTCAAAGCTTCGGCAGCAAAGTTTGGCGGCTCAAGTTTGGCGGCTCTCAACTCTACCCGCTGCGTCACAAAATCTGCGTCGCTGAGCCAATAACTACGGTGGCACCTATGCACGTGGGTTGCAAATGCTGCAAATGGATAAGTGCGCACCAGACACTTATGTGTGCGGCGCCGGCGATAACCTCACCACGCCCTTATTCAAGTAAATAATAATAAAAAAGAACGTTCTCAATAGATTTGAACACTTGACTCCTCTTTATCACACATTAATCAATAGAATCACATCAGTGTGTGATGCTCAGCGGGCAGGCGTGCCTCCCTTATCAACAGCATCTTAGATTATCATCAACAACTTCAAAAAAAAAGAGGTGCCTTAGAGAGGTCTTAACAGCGGTTATCAGAATACAAGGTTTTCTATCTATTGCTGCACTTTGACGCCTGAAAACCTACCATAATCAGCAGATTAGAGGGTAGTGTCAGGGGGGGTCGGTCGGCAGGTAGGACGGGGAACACTCGGTCAGGCTGATCTGGTCTATTGCTACGGATAGGCACTCCTCAGGTAGGGCAGGCTCTATGTACAAGACGTAGCTCGAAGAGCTACAACAGAAGACGGTCGGGATCGCGACAAAATGCAAAGGCAGGCGCGAGTTCACGTGACTGCCAGGTGCAGGGTGAGTCCCCGCTCTTGACCAGCTGTGACACCTACCACCTTCAACAGGGCCGGATAAGAACAGAGACACGGTTCTCGTCGTGGTGGACCGCTTCACAAAGTACGCACACTATATTGCGACCACGAAGACGATTAGCAGCGAGGGCTTAGCGACCTTATTCCTCGAGAGGATTTTCTCCCAGTACGGAATGCCTGAAGGTATCGTGTCGGATAGAGGAGTCTTGTTCACAAGTGGTTTCTGGCGAAGCTTCTGCTACCTACTGGCGTGCAAGCCGCGGCTTAGCACGTCCTTCCACCCGCAAACAGACGGTCAGACGGAACGGCAGAATCAGAACCTCGAGCACTACCTACGAACCTACTGCGCAAAACACCAAACCGACTGGGTGCAGTGGCTGCCCTTGGCCGAGTTCACATATAGCACGGCTACACATAGTGTTCTCAGCGAGTCACCTGCGAAGTTACTGCGAGGATTCCAACCAAGAAGCATCGGATCCGTGGCAAATGCGGATGGGATTTCGGCGGCTGCAGACGAAAGGATCAGCTATTTACGCAAAAGCCACGAGGAGGCGGCGAAATCGCTTCGTGCAGCCGGCGAATACTACGCCAAGCATTACAATAGGAAACGGTCGCAAAGAACGTTCCAGGTGGGAGACTGGGTGCTGATTTCTACGAAGAACTTGAACTTACGGCGACCTAGCCGTAAGCTCGCAGAGAAGTACGTGGGACCATACCAGATTCAGGAAGCAATTGGCGACCATGGCCTTGCATACAGGATTAGGTTACCATCGGCAGTCAAAGGCCACAACGTGTTCAACATATCATCACTGGAACCCTATTACAGTAGCGAACTCGCACCGATAGAGCCGAGTGATCACCCTTTCTTCGAAGATCTAACATGGGAAGTGGAACGCATTGTGGGCCACCAATACAACGGCCGACGAAGGTTATATCTTGTGAAATGGAAGGATTACCCTGACAGCGAAAACACTTATCAAAAGAAGTCGGATTTCACAGACTTCGCCTGTATCGAGGATTATGAGCAGCACCTACGCGGCGATATCGCAGCAAGTTCACAGGGAGAGAGAAGGGAGCCAGGGTGAACACAGAAGCAGAAGGGGGTGAAAGGCGCCAAACGGGCACCGAGGGAATCAATTGTGGCAAAATTAACGACGCCACGCCGCGCCACGAAGGCGCGGCGAGGTCACAGCGTGAAGGCACGGACGGACGGACAGACACCACCACCATTAATCCTCCTCAGACTCATCCTCCTCGGTCATCTCCTCGTCCGACAGAGGCGGGAGCGGCACGAACTACCGGCGAGTTAGCAGCGAGCACAAAGCAAGGATAAAGGGAAAAGCAAGACTCACGTCCTCGGCGCAGAGACGCCGGGCGATCTGCTCCGACAGCGCCAGTTGCCGGGTGGCCAGCTTGTTGGCACGGCGAATACGCCGCGACAACGAAGCTACCTCCCGCGAGGTGGCGGCGCGCGAGCCGCGAGTACTGGCAGCGGCGGCGGCTGGGGTGCTCTTGGCCTTCTTGGCCCTCTCTTTCGCAGCGGCCCGGAGCTTTTTGAGCTCCAGGGCCGTGGTCCTGTCGGTCTAGTTGCGAGTTAGCACATACCTCACAAGCGATATAGAGGCGACTCACAGGGTCGGCGTACAGCTTTGCCGCCAGGGAGCACATCCGAGTGCCTCGGGTGGGCTCGCAGGCCCGGCCGTTACTGGCACACTTCCAGCACTTGGTGCTGGCGACTTGGACAAAGTTAGTACGCGGCGAGCTCGGTGCGATCACGCTATTTCTTACCCTCGCTATCGTTACGACAGTCCACCTCCCCGGGGGTGGTGGACTTGCGGTGGCCCAGACAGATATCAATGAGGTGCCCGAGGCACCTGTCGCAGGGGGCGTCGCGACTGCACAACGAATTAGTTACGAACTCGCCAGTAAACAGCAGAACTTACTCGACGAGCTCGCCTTTGGGGGTCTTGGCCTTGCCCTTGGCCTTATCTTCCTTCTACCAGGCAAATTAGCAACGACTTCGGTGCGACGGAGCAAAGAACTTACGGCGGCCTCGGCCTCGGCAGCGGCAGCAATCTGCGCCTTCAGCCTCTGCAAGATAGTCAGCCAAAGACCCGAAGACACAGACAGGGGAACTCACGGCGGCGGCGGCGGCGGCGTCGGCCCTTCCCTTCTACAGTGGGTTAGCCAAACTCGCTGAGCGTACGCTACGCGAACGTCGGCAACTCACGGCGGCGGCGGCGGCGAACTTCTCCTTCTTCTTATTCTAGAAAAGGATTAGACACCTCGCAGCAAGTACGCAGCGCACAGATTGAGAACTCACAGCGGCGGCCTCCCTCTTGGCCTCGGCGGCCTTAGCCTTGACATCGGCATCGTTAATCAGCTACGCAAAAAGGTTTAGCGGCGAGACCGCAACACGGACGCATTGAATGCGCAGAAAGAGACTCACGGTGGTGCCCTCGGCGGCGTCCTCAGCGTGGGGAGAGTCGGTCATCTGAGATTTCGTGTCAGAGAGTGCGAGCACGCAACGCCCTCGCTGCGCGAGAGCGTTGGGGTCTTGGACTCACGTTGTTGTTGTTGCTGCTGTTGGCAGCGGCGGGGGCGCAGGTGCGTAGATGGTGCATCTGCCACCACCGTGTCAGCGCTGCGAGCGCGCGGCACACGCGATGCGCGCTGTGTGGTGGGGGTAATGCTTACGTATTGCTGTTGTTGCTGTGGCAGCGGCGACAGTGCAGGGAATGTCAAACTGTTGCGTATTAGCGGCGAATTCGCAGCAACGAGGCATCAGGCTACGCACTTGTTCGAAAGGGTGAAGAAGAAGAAAAGAAGAAGAACAAGATCAGCGGATTGATCTGCCGGGCGGTCAGAACGCTGTAATAAGATGGGTTGAAGGGAAGTTGATTATGCGGTTGAAGTCGATTAAAGATCAGACGAAACCACCGAATACCAGCCTCGCTGCATGGACCCAGCATATTCGCTACGAATACGGTGCGCATGCGTGGATGCCGAGGACGGCATACGTGGATGCCGAGGACGGCATACGTGGAGCGGGGCGTTCTGTCAGACACATATTGCATACCAAGGTTGTTACAGGCATGAGGGGTGGCTGAAGCCACTGGCCCTGTGGCTGGGTGTGGCTCAGGAAGCCCCGATTGGGTCACGTGCACAAGGGCACACCGAGGGAAGAACCTTCGCAGCCGAGGAATGCTTCTAGGAGGATCAAGAGATTGATACAGTCACCAAGGACCCCGTACTCGCAGCGATCTAGCTGCGCCCTCTCGACATTATGCACCTTCTCACTCTCTTCATAAAACCCAGTTCCTGACAAGCAGACTGTCGATATCCATCGACTGGAGAGGCTCCCACATTTCGCGAAGAAGCTGCTGCTGAGGGCTATCGTCATTATCGTCAAATGGAACGCCCCAATCCGGGTCGGCGGTTGTATGATATAAATCTCTGGGAATGCCAGATTTGACGTTAGGCCGGTTCTTCTGGTTGCGAATAATGTGACCGTTCCATAGGTTAACAAAGTCAGCAAGTTCATCGCGGATTATCTGGCCGTAGATAGCATAGACTGCTACCTGATCGGCGAGGTTATCTTCGCGGAAGAGCCCGTAGCCGATTAATTCATTGAAGAAGGTTATCCAGCGGTCTGTGACGCCTCGTCGGAGCTGCCGCCACCAAGACTCAATTCTCACGTTCCTTGTGCTTGGCCTATATAGATGACAGCTGTCAAGTCGGTCCCCTTGGGCGTAATAATGAATATTTCCATCTTCATCGGTATATTTGACCTTCTTTGGTCCTTCTTTTGCAAGCGCTGCCTGTGCCGCTGCCCAAAGCGGCGTCTCCGTGCCATGGTCAGACCTTGTGACAAAAGGCCGCTTTTGCAGCCGCCGGACAGCCTCAAGATACTGTTTTAACGTGCTAAGAGACGTTGTTGCTGACCTGCCCACATAGAACCATATAATACAGGGGGAATAGGCGTCAATACAACCGTAGACCTGGAAGCCGACCTTCCTGAGCTTTTCATAGCCGTCAAGAGACCATAGAAAGTTCGGTCCTGGCACGCGAAAGTCCCCTCTTTGCTTGAAGCCACCGTCTCGCCTGCCAGCAACTTCTGCTGGGAAAGCAGCCCTGTAGAAGTCATACAGACGGCGCTGTGAGACCACAACTTGAGCCTTCTGACGAACATATTGACAAAGGAGGCCCTTGCCGAATCCCAAGATTGCACTGCTTCGTTGGAGATCTTGGTCGAGGAAGGCGATGGCGTTGTTGAGCCTCTCGTCTTGCTCTTTAACTGTCCTGACCCGTTGTTTTATGCCGTGCTGCCAGCGGACCTTCTTTACCGCCCAGAGATGGACGTGGAAGCCTTCTTGATGAAGCTCTCGAAGAATCGATGTGTCTGAGAAGCCGAAGTTGAAGAATAGGTGTTTGACCCGGTCGATGAGGGCGTTCGATATGTCCAGGGCCTGGTGTCTTGTATCCAAGCCCCATGCCTTAAGCCGCCGGAATAAGGTCCGCTCACTAATTAAAGGATCGCCAGCATCTTGGAGGCCTGAATTGATATCTTGAAGCATCTCATTAATAGGGATATTTGAGAAATACTGGCCGCAAATGTGGTCTTCAAAGGTAGTCAAGTTCTGGCGGGGGACTGGACGCGGGACCCCGAGGAAAATATGCAAATGGCTCTCCCGCTACGGCCAATCGCGCGACCTGGGCGAGCCGGGTGAGCCGGGTGAGCCTCCGCCCGAAACCTGTTACCTGCAAGCTGAGTACTGGCGGCGGGCGAGGCATTCATGCATTGAGCCACAGCGCTGATGGTTAACATCGAAATCTATTAGTACGACAAGGCGCGTGTAGGTACGGAGTACTCCGTACTGCATTATAAAGCGAGGCTACCCCGCTCCTTACGAAGCCTGAAGCAAAGAAGGCAACTCCCAAGGTCAAAACAAAACTCTCAACAAAAGACGTACCGGCATGCATTTCTGTTGCTTACTGTATCTCCATTTTATTTTTCATATACATCATGGAGCCCGTGTCATTAGCCATCGGCGTTGTGCCGTTAGTCACGAATATCGTAGCGATATCCACATTTATTCGGGAAAAGGCGGCAATCTATAAATCAACATCGACCGACGTACAAGCCATTCACGATAAACTTGGCCTCATCCTCCATATCTGCAAGGGACTTCAAGATGGCGAAAAAGCATCACAAGATCAGGGGGGCGAGCTCCCGGAAAGAACTCTCGAGATGTGCTATTCGAGTGTGTCAAGCATAAACCAAGAGCTTGAAAAGGTAGTGAGCAAGAGAAGGGGGCGGATGCAAAATTTCGAATGGCTCCTAAGGAAGTCAAACATTGACAAGCTGATGAAAGATCTCGATGATTCTATCAATATGCTGAATATCTACATGAATTGGACTTTACGGTTGGTTGGGTATACGCTTGTTGGAAACGCATGCTGATTCGGATAGACTATCTCCACCATCCCAGATGAGGATAACTACAAAACGAACTAGATCTACGCCGCAAGTAGCGCCCGAAGAACAACCGCCTGCGCGCCTAACGACTCATACAAGCCAAAAGCGAGCGACTGTCACTACAAACCGATACACGAGGCATCAGAACAGTATCTTTCTATACGATACCGTTGATGTATTCACGCAAGGAAGTGAAGATCTAGAGGACAGTCGATATCGCTCATATTTTCTCGGCGTCCCGCTCCTCAGAACATATGTCAGTCTGGCGTTGCGATCTGAATGCTTCAGCCCCTGGAGCCTTGCTCTAGATTCGCCCCGTTTCATATAGGAAAAAGATAACAAGACCCTTTACGACGCGATTAATTTCGGAGCACCCAGGTCTGGGGCAGCGAAGGTCGAGATCGCCAAATGGTTGCATACGCATAACATATCTGCTAACACTCAGCTCATCTCCGGTTCAAGAGGCCGAGGCCGTCGAATGTCATTATTTGGCGCAAGTCGATCTTCCTTTGAAGAAAAGTATGCCACTAATCTATGTCAGGCAATGGTTGCGGACAAAAGAGTGGAGGTCGTTGAGTATCTTCTTGACCACAGTGGTGGAGCGCTTGCAAATCAGCAGTGAGAAACTCAATACGTGTAGTCAGACTTCCATATAATGCTGACATCTTCTTCATTCAGGCATTTCATCGATTTTAGAATGTGGCTTTCTCGCAATACAATAGGCGGAGAGAACTTTTACTACGACCCAGCCCGTATATATGCCGACTTGCGTGGGCCACTTCTCACGATTGCAGAATATTACGGCCTTGTGAAGGTCGGCAGGAACGCCTACTATATCGAAAGTCTTTTCGATGCATGCAAGGAGGCATTTGTCGATGACTGGAAGGAATTCTTGATTGCGACGTTCGTGGCAGTCATTGAGGATTTTCCCACAATCATATCCTTGTCAACAAACCTGCTTCAGACGGCACCCTTCGTATACTGCTCGCCGTTGATAACGAAACTTTTATCTGCTGGCTTATACATTCATGAACCGTTGCCACTATGGAACCATAGTTACGACGTCGGGGAGAGTCTCCAGCGGGTGCAAAGGCTGTTTGACCGGTACACGGCCCTTAACCTGATCATGATATGCGAGCACAGGTGCGCAGCGGACAGTATCGAGATTGCCGAAAGCTGGTTGGCTACCTTGGAAGACGCTGGAATCGGCATCGACAAGTATCTACAAACGGAGCTTAAAACACAGGTTTCGATCTTGGAACTTGACCAACAGCTGCAGCCTCTACGTCCACCGGACCACGCTTTTAAAGTGCCGGGAAACTGGAGTCTCATGGCTCGGAAGGCAAAGCTTATACTTTTCTACAATCTGTGGAACCCAGGGAAAAGAATTGACTTGGAGTACGGTGATAGTGATGACCTTTTTCAAGCGATGCCGGCCCTCCGATACGTCCAAGGGACTACTTTTCTGGTATGTCATGGAAAAAACCCCTACTCGCATATCGATTGGAAAACAAGCTTTATGGATGAATTTAGAGATGAAGAATCAAGTTGGCCGGTCACCCGATGTTGTCGGGCATTCATTCAAGTTATGCCCAGCCAAGGCTTGAGCGAGTGGAATATCAAGACACAGGCGGGTTACGATTACTTCCTCCAGCTGAGAGAAGAACGTGCTGAAAAGCGACAACAGAAGAAATGGGCAAAGCTGAAAAAAAGACACGCTTTCCTTAATGAGAAATGCTACCCAATGCCGGGCAGTTGGAAAATGGAATGGTGGGAGTATCGGGGTCCTTGGTAGTTAAGTCGCTCAATTCTTGTTACAGCCGTGATGTTTCTCACACCGAGCAAGCTGAAGTAAGCGCCTTATCTGACAATGTTTTCCCAAAGCTAGGCTATGCCACAAAATTGGCTTATTGGCCTACCTTTTAAAATGAATATCATCACTACCTTGGCCCTTATGGCCATTAGCGCTCAAGCCCTCCTCAATCTCGACGCCAACCTCCCTTTCACTATAGACGTCGACCTAGGCCTACTCGGAGCTAGTCCCACGAAACAGCCTTGCCATGAGTGCATAGACACCTGGCTTCCTCTCCATGACATCTTCATTGACGATCGTGACGACATCCACGTTGATAACTGGCACTGGATCCACCCTTGCCTTCAGCATGAGAAGCCGTCCTACACCTGGGTACCAGCACCTTCACCACCAGCCGAGTCCGTCATCCCATGCCCCCCTGATGCTCCGGACTGCCCTGCTCGGACTACCACGTACACTACTGGCATTCGGCAGACCGCCATCTGCCCTATACCCATTGAGACACCCATGGAGGCTATCGACGAAGCCTTGGAAGTGCTCGGGTCTACAACCAATATTCCAAGTATTGGCAACCCTACCAATACAGACGCTCCCGATATTCCGGCCATCATCATCGAAGAACCCGAGCCTCCCCCAATCCATACCTACGTTCAACTCTCTGTAGCGTCAACCACAGCCGTCAATAAAGCCAACGTCCAAGCCACCCCTTTGATCCATGCCACCCAAAATTCCCATCCGCGGTCAACACATTTATTACTAACCCTCAATCCCTCTTGTTCCTATACGACAACAACAAACAATGCCACGAATCGTGGCCCTGACCCTTCCATCGACAAGTCTTCTCCAACCTCGCCATCTTCACCCCATCCTCGTTGTCCAGCCTAATCCCGTTTAGATCGTATATATTCCGCGTTCGTGTTTTCGGAGACGTAGCAATGAGTTATTCAATCGCGTTCCTGCAGGTCGCGCGACATATTAAAGAGGGCACCGCCAGGCATCCATACATAGCTCAGTCAGCACGGGCCACCTTTCGAGAGCCACCTGCACGATTTCCTCCAAGTCAACGGGGACGGCCTAGGTTGCCAGAGCTCTCTTGAGCGTGATTTCTGATACAGCCCTGCCACCATCACAAACGATCGTGTTATTCAGGAATTCGAATATCTTACTCGCAGGAAGCCCACGCATCCGTGCATCAAGAATTATTTCTTGATAATCATTAAGGTTGGTGCGTGGCGGCATCCTGAAAATCACGGATATTGGTATGTGTGGGTGGTTATGATGTGTGCTGTCGTTGTGTCTGCGGGGTTGATACGGTGTGGCAGTTATTGCTCTAATATCCCACCGTACGGGCCTCCACTCACGTCTAAAACCGGTACAGCCAATACAGCAAGTGGACTGCTCTTAGATCAAGCCGGGGGGAACGACCCCTTAGGCGACATGAGATACACAAGCCCAGGGGAGGTGCTCCGTCAAGCCATGGTGGACAAGGGAGCGCTGCGAATGTTCGAGGCCGACCTAGAAGCCTTGCGCGGGCTGCTGCCTCCTCTGCTGGGCCGAGGATGGCAGACCTTTCGCCCATGGTGTTGCGGGTTGCAGTCGCCGTGGCAATAAACCAAGGCGAGGAGGTTGGTGATGGCCAATTTCACGGTGTGCTTGGTCTTCTATGTACCGCAAACGATGTGTAGCAGGGCAGACCAAGAGAGCCAGGGCCGAGCATGCGACGCCCCTGGTAGGTGTTGATCTCGGGATCTGATCATGCCGCTCTACCATGAAGCTTTCTGCTGAGCCGGTCCCAAAACCTTTATTCAAGAAGATTTTCCCGCGTTCCTTCCGTAATGTAGACGTCCATATGCGGTGGCTTGGTGAGTCTACGCGCATGGGGAACACGCAATGTTTACAAGCGATTATGGTGGCAAGTATCTTACTCGGTGTATTCCTGATCTCTTTTCAATAACTGTGGGTTTCATCACGATGCGTCAATCACCATTCTCAGCAAGGGCTTCAAAAGCAACTTAATTCTTGAAACTCAACCCAGTCTACACAAGCTTAGTCTACTCTCCTGTACGGCGTCACTCGCTTGTGCGGTTTCTATTGTGTGTATGCCGATCATCTTCCACGAGCTGGTGACTTTTTTCCTTATCGACCATAATGGTCTCATGGAGGGCGTCTGCCAGACTGGCACCGAGCGATGGAATCCTTGAGGCGTGGCAAGAGCTCCTCTTCTCCGAATGATATGTTCTCATTCAGCTTTTGGAACATATTGCGCTCCATCACGTCAAATCGGCGTGCTCGAAGGACAGAGACATCTCCTCTCATTCCAGACTAGTGCGCTTACGCCAATATTGTTTCGAGACTAAGCCTGGATCACCTCGTTGCTGCGACATCGCGAGGCGGCCATGTGATTGAGCGACGACATGCCGAGATTTTCGGCATCACAGCAGATCTATGCCGTGTTGTTTATGGCGCAGTAAATGAGGCTGTGGCACTCTTTGACAATTGAAACCCAGAGAACATGGGTATGGGACACACTGGTCAGCAGCAACTATCCGGTATCATGAATGGCATCGCCAGTGAGCAGGCAAAGGATAAACGCCAGCGCAAGGGTATTTGTGTAACAGTGCTAATAGTGCACTTTGCATGCATCTATTAGTGCATGTATCTATTCAAGCGTAATTTATAATGGTCAGCTTTCCCCCAACCCGCGCAGACAATTCCAACAGCACTGTTACAGCTTGAGCTCCTTTGCGATGATATCAGCCGCCTTCTCCCCAATAGTGAATGCCATTATTGCTGTGTTGGCGGCGAGATTATGGGGAACGATGCTCAAATCAGCGATCTTGAGGTGTCCTACGCCGTGGACGCTCAGATTTTCGTCGACGACGCCGCCATCGCAAGGCGACGCCATCTTGCACGTGCCAATGCCGTGCCAGTTCTGTGCGAGGTTCTCCGTGATCCACTTTTCCAGCACCTTGTCATCTTCTGTCGAATACTCTATGTCCTCGACAGGTGTTGGTAGAGGGCCGTCCCTCTTCTTAGCCACCGCAGCCGAGTCATTGGCGAATGGAGGGTGTATCGCAGGCCATTCGCCTCGATAGACGTCGAGGCGACGGACAATCTCGCGCTGTTTCTTATACAACCACATGGCCATTGCAAGGTCGAATCCAGCCTTATCGGTTAGGATGCCTGTTTTCAAATCGATCTCGGCATCGGGGTCAGAGGATGTAACGTGGACGTGGCCACGGGCCAAGGGGTGCAACAGGAATGAACCCGTACTGAGGAAGCGCTCGCTCCTGTCCTCCTCTGGAATGGGGCCAATGAACCTATTTCTGTCAGCAAAGGAGATCTATGCAAGGTACTGACATACCCATTGCAGGTTGATATGGTGGCCGCGGGCATGTTGACGTTTTTTTCGAAGATTTCATCCCAGACTGAGCGAGCATCCCCTCGTAGGATGGCGTCGATCTCCTTTTCAGTCGGGCGAATCTTGGAGGTGATCTCGGCGGCGTTCCAGGCGAGCATATCATGGTCGTTCTCAAGCATGTCCTTAAAGGTTGTCCGCCCGTTTAGTAGATCGTCGTACGTCTCATTGGCCGTCAAACTCGTATAGTATGACAGAAGAATGGTGTTGTGGTCCTGAAACTCCTCGCCCACTCCAGGCACGTGTGAGAAGACATCAATGCCGGCTTTGGTCAACTTGTCGCGGTGGCCAATACCGGATCGCTCGAGCAACAAGGGTGTACCAAGTGCACCAGCCGACACAACAATCAGCTTCTTGGCCGCGATCTCATGAGTTCCTGTAAGATCCTTGATCCCAGGAGTGCCTCGAAGAACGACACCATTAGCCTTCCCGTCCTCCGAAGAGACACGGACAACCTCATGTTCCACAAGGATATGGAGGTTGGGGTGCTTGCCATCGTGCAGACGCGGGTGTACGTACGCGTGAGCTGCATCCTGACGGACGCCATCCTCACTGATGTATCGAAGGTTGCGTTGAATGGCCTGGTTGGTGTCAAAATCCTGGAGGTCGATTGCCTCTGGAATTCCGACACTGGCAGCGGCTTTAATGAATTGTTCTTGCAACCGTGTTGGACCGTAATCGCTGGCAGAGATGTGGATTGGGCCGTCCGTACCATGAGGCGAGGCACCTCCTGGGCCGTGGTAGGTCTCAAGCTGCGGGCGTCACTACTTAGCTGAACTTACTTTCTTCATGTACGGAATCATGCCTTCCGACGACCATCCAGGCATGTTCCAGTCGTCCAAATCACCTCTCTGCGGACGCGTGTAAGTTAACATATTGATGGATGAACCACCTCCCAAGATGCTACCCGCGGGTACGGTCATGGCCCTCCCCGCGATTGCTTCTTCTGCCTGGCCCTTGTAAGCCATCATCCGCGGGTTAGACGCACCCAGGCCCAGGATGTTCTCAATAAAGAACAGCGGGTTCGTGACAGTAGGGTCGTCCAAGTTGTTAGGTCCCCTTTCCACAACCAGAATGGATAACTCTGGGTCTGCATCGCTGAGCCTCGCGGCTAGAACGCAGCCAGCCGTGCCACCTATGAAGGTCAGCACACCCTAGTCATTGTGGTATTGGGCCTTACCCCCTGCAATGATCACGTCCACCTCATTGAGCCCGTCGATGACCTGATTATGAACACCTCCCATCTTGGTCAAACGTTGCGTGTTTGTGTATTTGAGAAAAACAGCCAGGCAGCGAAATGTCCTCAAATTGCTAGTGAAAGATGTAATCTAGCATGCCTTAAGGCATGCAATTTGGATCGATTATTCACTGTCACTAGCAGCGCTTGCTGAGTGGGAAAATTACCATGAGATCGAAAGGAAAGTGCTGTATGGTATAGATCGGTATTTGCGCAGAGTAAACGAAGGAGGAGAATGACCTTAAACCAAGCTGTCAATCCTTCCTTATTTTATATATGTTCTGATCTGCCACCAATGTGCTTGCGGAGCTTAGGTACTGAGGGACGCATTCGTTTTGAAGGGGCCGTCAAATAAGCAAACAATGTCTGGAGACAAATCATAATCTGGGATCGATTTAGCCGCAGCCGCGTACTTTGTCATACGCATGTTGGTTGTGGCATGCTTACATACTTGTACGAGCATCCTATTCCGAGTTTCCGAAAATCTTCGGCGACTGTATACTGCCTGCGGTACGGAAACTTGCGCCAATAACAAATCGCAAACTTATCGAGCCGCCTCTTTCCAAACTTTCTCGTCCACCATAAAAACCCTGTTTCCGGTTACCACCCCTATGGTGACCCTCCCGACTACGGACATGCCCCCAGCTCATGCATACAAAACCTCCGCTTCCCTTGCCAAATGACATGCCACCTAACATCCAGCCCACCTTTCCAATTGCTCGTTGAGCTCTCCCATCTCCCACGAAACTCATCCTTTCTCCGTCCGCGCTCTGTCTCTCGAAACGGAAATGTCACTTCTGTAGCTCGAGTTCCCTCTCCACGTCCCCATATTTTGTCCTCGCCTCCCCCTTCTCCGGGGCCAGTTCCTCGTAACTAGGTACGCTCTCCAAATACTACTTCGTGCATTCGTCACACACCTCCCTCTCCGCCTCGCAACCTATCCGCTTCAAGCACCCATCCAACTGTCTGTCCAATACCTGCCATTGACACCGCCTGTGCTGCACTACTCATCCACAGACTCCTCTTCTTCGTCTTCTTCCTCTGGCCTTCCTCCCCGACCTCTGTGCCCCGAGCCCTTCTGTCCCCGACCCTTCCTCCCCCTTACAGCCTGTGCCTGGGGCTGCCTTGGCTGCCCACAAACCACGACGGCTTCGCTCTTGTCCCCGTCTCACCCTGCTTATCCGCTCTTCTGTTCGTAACTCCGGAGCTGCCGCGGTATGCCCGCCTACTACCAGCTGCACATCCAGCCTAAACCGTTCGTGGCCATCACCAATGAACCCTTCTCTCGCCATGCAAGTATCCGTAACCGTGACGTCTTCACCTCGGATGTGCCATAACGGCGTGATACTGGCCCGCCCCCAATGCCTTTGCCCAATCGCTCAACTCGCCCAACCTTTCGGCTGTACACAATCGCCTTCTTCCCCCGCTTTTCTCTTGGCTTTAGAATTCTACGTAATCCGGCATGCTTGCTTGTCTGCTTCCATTGCTTACCTGACCGGCCGCGATGCTACCACCTCTACTTGGTGCCCAATATTCTTTTCTGATACAGTTAGGCAAATGTGGGGTAATCATTATCGTTTGCGCAATACTACTCCGATGAATGCTAACAGGATGCCATTATTAATATACAGGGCAAGTCGATCCGACGTATTGATATCTTCTTCTACATGTCTAAACAGTGGCAGAGAGCTCTGTGACGCACAAGTTGCGCTGGTTTTCGCAGTCTCCCCCCGTGAATCCATTGGCCTGGCCAGAGTTAAAGGCGTCGAAGCAGGCATTCTTCTGTATATCGCACGCTCTCGCGATAGCGGTGTCTTGTCCAGTGAAAGTGCTGCCGTTGACGAGGAAGGGCCTGTTGTTGTCGCCCGAGTCCTCGACGGCTGGGGCGGCGATTCCGCCGAGGGCTGTGGCACTCGACGCGCCGCCGCTCCCTCCTCCGTTGTTACCGTCTTGGTTCCCATTGTCTTGGTTGCCTCCGTTGTTGTCGCCGTTGTTGTCGAAGTCGAAGTTGTCGTTGTTGTCTCCGTTGTCGTTGTTGTCTCCATTGTCGTTGTTGTCTCCATTGTCGTTGTTGTCTCCATTGTCGTTGTTGTCTCCATTGTCGTTGTTGTCTCCATTGTC